GCCCATCCCTTCCCAGCGGCGCAGTCAGGTCTGGAGGCGGCGCTCCTGGTCCTGGGCTTCGGCAACGGCTCGGGCAACGAGTCGGAGCCCGTCCTGGACGCGCCCAGCAGCGAGCTGGACGTGCACACCGACATCTACTCCAAGGTGCTGGTGACCGCAGTGTACCTGGCGCTCTTTGCGGTGGGCACTGTGGGCAACTCGGTGACTGCTTTCACACTGGCACGCAAGAAGTCGCTGCAGGGCCTGCAGAGCACCGTGCACTACCACCTGGGCAGCCTGGCGCTGTCGGACCTGCTCATCCTGCTGCTCGCCATGCCGGTGGAGCTGTACAACTTCATCTGGGTGCACCACCCCTGGGCCTTCGGGGACACCGTCTGCCGCGGCTACTACTTCCTGCGTGATGCCTGCACCTATGCCACAGCCTTCAATGTGGCCAGCCTGAGCGTGGAGCGCTACCTGGCCATCTGCCACCCCTTCAAGGCCAAGACCCTCATGTCCCGCAGCCGCACCAAGAAGTTCATCAGTGCCATCTGGCTGGCCTCGGGGCTGCTGGCAGTGCCCATGCTCTTCACCATGGGCCAGCAGAACCGCAGCGCCGATGGCCAGCACCCTGGGGGCCTTGTGTGCACACCCACTGTGGACACAGCCACCGTCAAAGTCGTCATCCAGGTGAGACCTCCTCCAGGGAGAAGGGTGGGAGGAATCGGAGCTCTTCCCTCTCCCTCACCCCCGTGGGGTGCCCAGGGCTGCAGAGGGGTCATTGAGAGGCCGATGGTGGGTGGCTGGAAGGCACCTTAGTGCAGCCATGACCAGCCCACTCTCTGTGGTCCAGTGCAAGCCTAAGTGTGCCCCAAGGGAGAGGTCTCACACGCTTCTCAGAGGGCTTTGTGCCCCAGAGGCTGCTCTCCTGTCCGCTGCAGCAGGGCCCCGGGTGGCTTCCCAGAGCCTCTGGCTGCCCTGCACGACCCCAAATCTGGGGTCAGCTGCCGTCCTGGTTCCTGGTTCGGCCCATTTCTCACCTGTGAAGCAAGGTGATCATAAGATTGGCCTGAGAAGGTGAGGTGCTCAGGAGAGAACCTTGGGGAGGTTCGTAGGTTCCTGGGCACCTGGGAAGCCGAGGTGTCTGGTTGGGGAGGGCGTGGTGAGTAACGGGAGCTGAGCGGCTGAGGGCCTTGTTGGGGTCTGAGCAGTGTCCTGGGAGCCCTGATGGAAGGCACTTGGGCAAGGCATCTGGCAAGGTCAGGGTCAGTACTGCAGGGAGGCCAGTCAGGCAAGGGCTCCAAGGTTGGAGGAGAGTGTCCACAAGGAGTTGGAACAGAAATGGCATTCTGAAGGGTGCTTGGCCCTAGCACCTGGGTAAAAGGGTCAAAGGGTCTGGGCAGGGTCTCGGCACAGTGCACAGCAGCAGGGAGGCAGCAGCCATCCCCACCTGGCTGGCCTTCCCACTCCAAGCCCTACGTGGCCTCTCAGAGGAATCCTGCTTTCTCTGCAGATCCACAGTGAGACAGGGTGCTGTGCTTGGGAGGTGACAGTGCTGGGGAGGGGCTGTCATTTTCCTGTCAATCCTTGGGTGTGACTGACCTGCCCAGTGGCCTCTGAGGTGGGCCATAGTGCCAGAAATGCACTGCCTGCCAGCCCACACTTGGGACCTGGCTACAGGTGTCCCCTGAGCAGGCTGATAGCAAGGGATGAGCCGGAGCTCCTCTTCCCATGAGTCTCTCCCCTCATTCAGGCAGAAGCAAACAGGGCTCCATGTGTGGTAAACAGAGTGAGAAATTACTTTCCCTGCTCCCTTTGAGTTCTCATTTTTCTTTGCCCAAGCTCCTGTCCTTGATCATCTTTGCCTTGGGAGCGGGGACTCTCCAACCTGCGGTTGGGGCAGGGAGCAGCCCCTTCTCCTACCCTGCACGAACCTGCAGGTTGATGGGCCACAGCCCCTCAGCCACCTCCCCTCCGGCCCCTGGCTCCACCATGTGCAGTGTGGCCTTTTCCAACATCGACAGCAACAGAGTTGGGGGCAGGGGTGGAGAGCTCAGCCTCAGCCCCAGAGGGTGTCCCTCTCCCCCGACTCACGGCCCTGGTTGACACCCCTTCACCTGCCAGAGCGCCATTTGTCTGGTCTCACTGCTCAGCAGTCTCAAGGCCGATTTGGCCAGGTTTTGACCACTCAACCCCCAAGAGTGTCTGCTGAGCACCCACCCTGGGACCAGCTCCCTTTCTGTGGCAGAGGCGGTGCTGGCCAAGATTTGCCCACCCCTGTTGGTCCCCTTTGTGCCCTCGTAGGACTTAGCTTCCATTTTCTAAAGTTGTTGGTGCATCTGATTACAGGACACCAGCAGCCCTGAACAGGCTTCTGTGACACAAGCCTCTCTGTTCCTGGGCAGAGCATTCCCTGCTGAGGAGAGGCCTGGGCTCTCTCCTCCTCCCTGAAATCCACCATTTCAGGAGCGGTTGGGGGCAGGGTGTGATGCCCGCGTGAGCTTCTGGTCTGGCTGTGGCAGAGCTGGGCAGATGTCTACTGCTCCCGACATCTGGCCTGAGCAGGCTGCACACCCTTACCCATGCATTTCCCTCTGGTTGACCATGTTTGGAAGTGTTAAGCTGTTGGCCAATAAAATGATCCCTTGTTCCAAAAGAGAGGGCCTCTCCTAGCCTGAGTGTCCCCCAGGAGGGAGAATCTGTCCTAGCGCTTGCAAACAGAAGATGCGTGTAGAAAGGAGCTGGAAGTTGGTGGTAAAGTTTCTGAGTGACTTAAAATTGTCACCATGGGAGAGAGCCAGGGATTCCTCAGTGTGTAACCCGGGTGTGGGCTGTGCAGGTTGGGGCGGCAGGGCAGCAGCCAGAACAAGGTGTCCAGGAGCTCGGGCATGTACCGTGTGGCAGGGCTCCCCTAGGCCTGTCACCTGCAGTGCGATGCGGTTCTGCTTCTGCCTGGGCCAGCCTTCTGCTCTGACCTTGGCTGACCCAGACTGCAGCTCAGGCGGGTCCTATGTTCCTGCGTGGTGACACAGGCAGGCTCACAGCCTGACAGCGGCAGAGACTGGGGATTTGCCTGTCGGGCTCAGATCTGACTGAGGCCAAGGGCTGGTCCAGCTTTGTTGTACCACAGCCGCCCAGCAGCGCCCCCAGCCCCAACCCCGGACCCACTAATGTCACAGGTGCCCAGGGCAGACACACCATGGCCCAGCTCTAAGCTCCAGGGTCACACTGGTGCAGCATGGACTCCAGCTGCACACTGTCACTACCTGGCTCTTGTTTACCTTGGACCCAAGAGGCCCTGACCACCTCCAGCCCAACACTCTGAGGCTGCGGGATATCATGTGCTCACACACAGGCATCCATCCACCTGGAGGCGCATACACACACACGAGCACATGCAGACAAAAACAGAACAGAGACATGTACACATGGATCTGTGCACACAGGCACATGGACGCACGTGCACTCATGGAGCCCACACAGAGGCACTGTGTGCCTGGCTTGGTCCTGTGGTGGCCTCCGATTGTGGTGAAAGGTCATCTCCTCAGCTCAGTCAATGGAAGAGGATCCAGGAGGTCCAAGTCACCCCCACCAGGCTCAAGCCAGCAGCCCTTGGGTGCAGACTGCATCTTCGCCATCCCTGCAGCCAAGGATGGTTCTGGGCCCTGCCACCTTGGTGTCCATGTCTCGAATCCACCTCCCACTTAGTGCTGGTAGAACTGCTCCTTGATAGAACCTTGACAGGACGGGGCCTGACTTCGCAGGGGCTGGAGGCCCTGGCTGGGGGCGCAGGCTTCCTCCAGCAACAGGCAGGAGATGCATGCAGAAAGGTGGTGTCCACAGCCACTGCCCAGGCCAGCAGATGGATCTCAAGGAGACTTGGCGAGCAGCCAGGCCCTAAGCAGCAGCAGGGTTCCGGGAGAGGGAGGCAGCTGAAACCTGTTTCCATAAGCAAGAACGTTGGTTCTGATAAGTCAGGCCTGGGGCCGTTTTCCCGGTATTTCTGTTCAGTGCCATCAGGCCATGCCCAGCGACGCCTCCACGGGCAGCATCCTCTGTGTTAGGAAACACACGAGCGAGCAGCTAGAGGAGTGGGATGTGTGCAGCTGACCGTCAGACGGGTCGGAGCAAAATGCGGCTGAGTTGAGGAAGAGCGGGGCACACGCCAACAGAGACCAAACCTGGGCAGAAGTGTGGCCCTTTGTGCTGTCCGTACACTTTTTCTGTACTCTGGAATATGTTTAAATTAGAAAGTTGCACGGGGACTGGGCTTCTACAGGGACAGAGAGGACCCCGAGGAGCAGAGGTGGTCTTGACCTCCTCACAGGGGCAGGAAGTGGGGTGCAATGTGGCCAGGCCATGTTTCCTTATCTGGAGCACAGGGGGCTGTGTGAACCTGGCAAGGGGAGAGGGACTGAACACTTCCGCCCACCTGAAAAGCTCAGACCCCTCTGGAAACAGGAAGCTGAGCCTGCTCCTGCCTTTGCTGTGTGAATGGTGCCCAGCAGCTCAGCACAGGAAAGCCAGCTGCGGCAATCCTGACGACCGGTGCATGTGGCCAATGTCTGGAGGAGAGAGCAGGCACGAGCCAAGCCTGGGCATTTGCTCATAGCCCCAGTGACGTCTCAGATCAGAAGATCAAATCTGAACCCAGTGGAGCCTCTGATGCAGCTGCCAACTCCCAGGATGGTGGGGACAGAATCCTAGGATGACACGTACCGTTAGGATGCGAGCCAGCAAATCCAAGGCATGGGACCACTTAGAATGCCCCAGCATCCCTAAAGCCATAGCAAAGGCATGAGGGTGGTGGGCAGGCTGGCCAGCAGCAGGCAGACAGCTTGCTGGGCACAGGGCTGTCACGTTACTGTGGTTGTGCAGTTACTGTGGACACAGCTCTAAAATGGTTCTTTCCTCTCAGAGATGTGTACAGCAGTGTTTACAGACGATGATGCAGCCTCTCAGACTTGTGGAGCTGTGTTCTGATGCAGATGAGGAATGAATAGAGTAAGACTGGCCAGAGTCAATGGTGGTGAAATTTAACAACTGAATTTTTTGGTGTATGTTTGACATTTTTCATGCTCGACATTTTTAGAGCCGGGCTTGATGGCACACCCCTGTGGTCCCAGCACTTGGGGAGCTGAAGCAGGAGGATCAATGGAATCCACTTTGGCAACACAGAGAGACTCTAGCTGAAAGAAACAGAGACAAGAAGACAGGAAGCGGGGGTGGATGGATGGATGGGGGATGCTATAGGATGAGAATACAGAACTTGGCCTATGAAATCTGCACTCACACTTTGGGCTGTGGTGAGGAACAGTGGAAGTGACCGAGGAGCGGAGCGGAACAAGGCAGGTTTCCGGGAGGAGGCGGGCCCTCAACCACAGGAAGGAAGTAGGCTTGGCCGTGTGGTGTTGGTGGACCTGGCCAGAGCAGGAGGGTGAGGGTATGCAGACAGGACAGGTGGGGTACAGCCACCTATGCACATTGTGTGGCTGGAGAGAGACGGAGCTGGAGGTGCGTGGCCAGGGCTCTGGTCTGACCCTCCGCAGATTCCCCTGGGGAGAGAGTGAGTCCCTGGGGGGGATGGGAGAGTGAGGGAGCAGGCGTGTCCCGCCAGCTCAGGCCTGTGTGTGAGCAGCTCGTGGAGGTACCTGGTGCTGGGCTCCCCGGGCTGGCCCTGCATTCAGACA